CAAGGCCAAGTGCAAGGTCCTGCACCCGGGCTGGGGCAACTCCCGGTATCAATACAGGCTGGGGGCTGAAGGGATAAAGAGCAGCCCTGTGGGGAAGGACTTGGGGGTGCGGGTGGATAAAAAGCTGTGCATGATCCAGCAACGTGCACTCGCAGCCCAGAAAGCCAACCATCCAAAGCACCGTGGCCAGCAGGTTGAGAGAGGTGATTCTCCCCCTCTACTCTGCTCTAGGGAGATCCCACCTGCAGTGCTGCGTCCAGCTCTGGAGCCCAAGCTCACGCAGGTCCAGAGGACAGACACAAAAATGATGGGGCTGGAGCACCTCCCCTGGGAGGACAGGCTGAGAGTTGGGGTTGTTCAGCCTGGAGAAGAGAAGGCTCTGGGGACACCTTATAGCGGCCTTCCAGTGCTGAAAGGGGGCTTATAAAAAAGAGGGAGACAGACTTTTTAGCAGGGTCTGTTGCAGTAAGACAAGGGGTAATGGTTCTAAACTAAAAGAGGGGAGATTGAGACTAGACATAAGGAAGAAATTTTTTATGATGAGGGTGGAGAAACACTGGCACAGGCTGCCCAGAGAGGTGGTAGAAGCCCCATCCCTAGGAACATTCAAGGCCAGGTTGCACGGGGCTCTGAGCAACCTGATCTAGTTGAAGATGTCCCTGCTTATTGCAGGGGGATTGGACTAGATGACCTTTAAAGGTCCTTGCCAACCCAAACTATTCTGTGATTCTATGATTCTATGACTGTTTCTTCTGTTGAACTCCTTTTTTTCTTACGCAAAAAACAGAGATCCCGGCAAATTGGGAGTCTTCAGCGCGCAAGGGACTGGGCTTGATTATTTGTTGCACACTGGGATATTTCCCTTTTGAATGTAGTCTACTGGAAGGCTGAAGTCTCTCCTTCTGTAAATATACACTATGTTTTTGTAGAGTTTATTTACAAAGAAATCACTAAAGGGTAAGTGTAAAATAATTCTCTCTTTAGAAGTTACCAACTTATCAAATAGTGCCTTAAGGGACATTTCTCAAAACTGCTATACCTATGATTTTCCCACAAACCACAAAAGGTTATGCAAACTGACCTTCAAAGCAGCTTCATAGACATCGTTGGTGAGGCACTCCATGAGGTAAGATCCCCCCCAGGGGTCCGCCACTTTAGGAATACCTGACTCCTCTTGAATGATGATCTGCGTGTTCCGAGCAATGCGAGCACTCTTCACGGTAGGCAAACCCAAGGCTTCATCGTAGGAATTTGTATGCAAAGACTGTGTACCCCCAAAGACTGCAGCCATCGCTTCAATCGTAGTACGGATCACGTTGTTGAAGGGATCCTGGAAGGAAAAGGACAACTCGGAAGCTCAACGGTTCTGCCATGGGGCTGAGGCAGATTGGTCACACACATACTACTGCAGTGAAGTGCAGGAAAGATTCCCCACTGAATCACTGTAATCATAACAAAAGCTGAAAAAAGAAACTGGTCAATAATAAGCACCCATTCAAACTGATACATTACTTATCAGTATCAATATGGACGAAAAGATTAATCTATAAAGCAGGCAAGAATTATCAACGTATGAGTAAACTGGTCACGATAATAAAGCAAAGCTTAACTTGTATTTAGAGGTGTTTCAAAGAACTTAACAAATCCAAGCTGGAGAGGATGGAACAAGTAGTCCCGATGCCCTCCATCCTCAGATTCCAGATTTCTCGGAGCAGTGAACAGCACATCTGTCAGACAGGTTACCAGTCAACATTTGTTTTGGAACTAACTGGGCTTAACATTTTCAGTAATGACAGCACTACATGAAGGTAGGAGTTATAGTTGAAATTTGCTGGTGTTATAAAACGGAAAGATATTTATGGGAGAACTGGGCTATTAACCAAAACAAATGGATAATCTGGAGTGGAAGGTACAGAAACAGAGTCAGTATTACAGAATATAAACTCAGCCTTTAGGTCAAAATTTTACCTGCTTTTTTCAGACACCTAGAAAGTTGAATCGTATATATGTGCCTTCACAGTCAAAGAGCTGTTATCATGATCTCTAGGAGGTGACTCATGTTCTGAGATGAAGAATCACACACTGCAGCTGCCTGTCTTATTTAATGTGATTATTGAGGGAACTAACAGAAGTACTAACAGTGGCTCAGATTGCATACTTAATTCTTGACATGCTTAGATGGGATGAAATGTATCCAAAATAATTAAGAGCCCCAATGTAATAGGACCATGAAGAAGCTAAAACGAACATAAGATCTGTGAATTACACTATCTTCCATAAAGAAATGTAATTAATATCACTATTTTACAAGGACACAGTAATTCTACCTACACTGGATTCTATTTCTGGTTCAAGTATTCCATTTAAAGAATTACAGAAAACTGTGATTTGGATGAGCAAGAATGTACAATCTAATTTACAAGTGGACACCTATCTAAAGGCAGGCCAAAGGAAGATATATTTGCCCTCTGAAACCTATAAGGAGTAAACACTGGGCAATGAAGAGCTGTATTAAGACAAACAACAATGTTTAGACGGGAAAAAAGGGTGATGATCTGGCCAGAAATATATTTACCCTGGACACTAGAAGATGGTTGAACATATTTTTGGTAAAAAAATATTAATATTTTTGCACTCATACAATACTTTTAATTGGAGGAGCCACAAAGGCCATAGTTCAGAAAATTCCATTGTTTCAGTTTTACTGCGTTTCTGTAATGTAAGCAAACATTACCTTCGCTTTGAAAAAAAGAATGAAACCAGGTACAGAAGCGAAATAACAATGTTTGCAATCGCACCCTAAAAATAACTCCCATCGCATGACTTTGATCGAGAAGCAGGGCTTGGACTAAGAGCAGGAACCCGGCTCTGACCTCACCTGGGAAACTATATCCAGCCCAACAATTTATTGTCTTGTTGTGATGCAACTCAACAGCAAGAGCAGACAGTGCACACCCAGTTTCAAAAGAGCAGATGAGCTGTAACCGTTACAAGTTAGGCACTGAGACTCTGCCTATCACCCTACTGGAATCCCTTTGTGAATACAGTCTCAAGTCTTCAGTTTCTGCCCTTTTAACTAAGCGTTCCAGGGCAGCCCAGAATACTGAGGGATTTCATAGACCAGCATTTTGGGAAGCAGTGGTGCTGGCACCCAACAAGATGTAAGCAAAAAGATGCACCCACTGCTAGTAAGTAAGACAGGCTGTCTCCTCCAGAAAGCTTTAGGAGTAAAACCAGCAGCCCCCTTTAAGACAGACACCATGAGAACATACATAAATGAGGAAGTTGATGACAGTCCAATTTCTAACCTGCTCAGTGAGTGACCAGCCCGAAGTCTGACAATGAGCTCTCAGCAGAAGAGATTTGGGATCCTTGGGCTGAAACATTTTCTCTATCAAGTGAGCCCACAGCCGCCTCCCAGCTCTCATCTTAGCTATTTCCATATAGAAGTTCATGCCAATTCCCCAGAAAAAGGAGAGCCTGTAATAAGAGCACATGAACAGGATAAAACATTAAACCATTCTAATAACTCTGTTTCAGTAAAGGAGAAGTCCTACAGCAAGGTCTCTGATTAATTCACTTTTAGATACAACCCAGACATAAGATGATGGGAATGTTCCCGGATACTGATGCCAGGTGTAACGGAATGATACGCATTTATGCCAATAAACTGACTTAGCCCCCAAACAAAGTGACTGCAGGCACACTGCCAGTGACAATGGCCACTGGAACTGCTAAACTGTCCCCAGAGACTGTTTTGGGGAAGGCCTAGGTCAAGCAGTGTTCCAGGAAGTCACTAATACAGACAGTGACACACTAGTGCCAGGGAATGCTCCAGTACACAATCTGCTAGTGTAGTTATGCTCCCAACTTACAATGAGAAGGCATTACATATTATAACCACGCTTTCACCCTTTTCCTGATGATTTTAATCCAAATCAAGTATCAGTTCAATACTGGATAGCATATCAGGGAACAGACTGACTGATCCACTTTTTCCTACTTACAGCTTCTATGATTTATAAACGTAAACATGCATCGTTAAAGCCAGTAGAACTCATTATACTAAAGATGCACTTTTTTAACAGCGAATTAGCTGCTGAAACAATCTGCCAATACAGATTCTCCATCACTAGAAAGTCTGAAAATATCTTTTTCCGTATCTTTTTCTACACGATTCACTTTGATTTTCCACAGATCTTAGGAACAGGTTAATTCAGCTGACTCCTGTACTTTGGATGTGCAACAAGCTACGTGAACCACGCCTTTAGTTTCTTAGACTCACTGTACAATTAGGGAATCTGTAAATCAACTAGATCACTGAAACTGTGATTCTGCTTCATTTGGCAGTAACTATACAAAGATATAATATTCTGCTTAAGATTAAATTTTATTTTTAGGAAATTTGCAACTGTAAATTGAACTACCTGAACTTTCCCTTGTTAAGCAATTTCCCCATATATTTCAAAATAGTACTAAAGAAAAAAAAATTCACTAGCACTATGACACAGAAGAACCGCAAGAGCTCTCGTGGCATTCTGCTGCCCTAAAACTACAACTGTATTAAGATATAACAGCTCAGAGATCCTCTTTCTGACCCAGAGACCAAGTGGAACAACAGACCTGGACAACGCTCGGGCTTGTGCATGAGCTTTGTCCAGTTTATTAGCGCAGATGTCATCTGTTGGACCAGATACATTTTCCTACTGCTGAAACTGTGTAACCAAACCAAACCAAAACCTGTCTGCAATGTGAGCATCACCAATATCGCCTGAGTGTGCAAAACCACTGAATTTGATATCAAACTCTACAGGTTTTACCAAAAGTGAGTTTATACTTGCAAATCTCTTTAGTTCACCTTGGTGCAAATTCATCAATGGTAAGGCCAGCTTTAAGTCCAGTCCTGCAGTACTCCAAGCCATCTGCTACAGTATAAGCTAATTCCAGAATGGTGTCAGCTCCTGCCTCTTGCATATGGTACCCGCTGATTGAAATGGAATTAAATTTTGGCATATGCTGGAAAAATAAAAGACAACAGGGTACAACAGCAGAAAGGGGTAGCAGATAATTTTTCTACCAACATTCACAAATAATCCATTCTTTGTAGACTGTGAATACAACCCATCTCTCTTAAGTGGTGTTTGCAGACGTTTACTGCACATGCTTTCACCTTTTTGCACTATTCATTGTGCTTAAGCTACCACTGATCAGGGTAAGCATGTTCCTCAGTTACAGGCTGTGTGCCACCTCTCCCAATGAAAATGCAACTAAGCAAGCAACTCGTAGTACTGAACTTCCAGTCTTCAGTTCAGGACTTCACTCTTTCATTACCTCCTTCTCACATTTAATTTTGCAGAAGCCCTTCAAGATTTCTTACCTCTTCACTCCTGCTTACAGCTGCATAATTTTTAACTACGGGGCTTCTTACTTCCTATGCAGAGAACAGCCTGTCTGTTCCTCATCTCCAAGCTTCCTGCCTTCCTTTCAGGCTCAGGCTCATCTTAATCTGACTTTGATTTGGACCGACTTAAAAATCTTAACATTTATGCCATCAGTGATTTGGGATTTTACCTTCTCCTCCCGGCCTTTTCCACTACCACATCATTCTTCACTATGACAGGTCTTCCTGTCTTCTGCTTTGTTCTCCAAAGTGCCTCATAAATAGTTAACCAGATGTAATAACAGAAGTAAATACATTTAAACAATGGATACCTTTGAGGTGTACTGGAAGATGTCAGCAATAATCCGCATCGATGGTTCTGGGGGGAAAATGTACGTATTTCGGACCATGAACTCCTTCAAGATGTCATTTTGGATTGTCCCTGTCAGCTTGGCCTGAGGCACTCCCTGTTCTTCTCCAGTTACAATGAATGTTGCCAGCACGGGAATGACTGCCCCGTTCATTGTCATAGACACTGACATTTTCTCTAAAGGAATTCCATCAAAAAGGATTTTGGTGTCTTCCACTGTATCAATGGCAACTCCAGCCATTCCAACGTCGCCTCGCACTCGTGGATTGTCTGAATCATAACCACGGTGGGTGGCCAAATCAAAAGCAACAGATAATCCCTGCTGGCCAGCTAAATGAAAAAGAAAAAAGAAAAAAAAAAAACACAACAGAGAGATTCAGAAGCGTTGAACAGACTTGCATTAGAACTGGATCTAAATTTAGTAATTTTATTTCACGTGATCCAGGCTTGGATGAGACACTAATTTGTGATGTTAAACACTGTTGCCTTCCCAAACTTGTCCTAGGTCTTCTAGTCTTAAACTTTAAACGAAAAAGCTTTTAATTGAGGAAAAAAAAAATTGTAGTCCTAGCTCAGCCACACAATCAGCTTACCGTGCTTAACAAACTGCTGAGTAACAGCTTAGCCACAAGTTATAAATGTGCAGAGACAGACAGCATCAGGGCTTATACACAGAATTTCTACTTAGCTTAGCTGGACACAAACATGTGACAAACTGTGACACATCACCTTGTCTTCATCACAAATTAAACACACAGATTGTTCCCCTGGCTCTAGTGACATATGCTGTTTATTCGCAAAGCTAAGCGATGCGTTACTAAACCTGCAGTAGGAGAGAATGATTCGTGTAAAGCAGTGAACGGGGCAGTTAGAGCTCTCGGCAGACTTGTTGCTGCAACCTGAAAGCAGTACCCGAAACTCTGCTACCCCCAGGCGTTCACCCTCTGACCAGCACTGCTCTTCCTGAAGTAACTGCATCGACTACGCTCGCAGAGCAACTTCTCAGCATCAGCAGAGCTCGTCAGACACCAGCGATCGCCTTTGATCTAAAAAGCGAGGTGTCAGCTTGGAAGCACAATGGCAAAGTTTAAATTTCTGCCTAGTTTCAAGGAATAGAAATTTCAGCCATATGAGAACTAATAATTAATTCTTTTTCAGCATTCCTCTAATTAATTTAATTGAATTTTTAAAAATGTTTTACAAATAACGGGGTCAGATTCAGCATCTATGCTAAATGCTTCAATATTAACACAATCATTAACACAACATGATCAAATTACAGTATCACAATGTCAAAACTCAAATAAAGATGAAAAGTTTCAGGCAGCAAAATCTTGAGTACCTGAGCGGTGCTACCAGCTCCTTCCGCAACAACGTTCAGCCGTAAGGCAGAGAACACTCAGAACAATCTTTCTATTGAAAACTTTGTTTGCAAATCTCTAATACCCTGTATTTATGATTTCTTAATTTACTGAGTTTTCTAAATGGAAAGAATCAAGAAGACTCACAAGGACACTGCAGCAGCTAATACTGCTTCATATTAGCTAACGGTGACATCGCAAGAGGTAAAAATCCCCAAACAACTCCTCCCCGCCACCCTAAACAGTTATATTTTGAGTAGGAGGGATTGTCAAGTGGGAAATAAAAGAGTCACAGATGTATTACTCAGAAGACAACTTTCAGTGTTCTGTTGTTTCGGCTGGTAAGGCTACAATTAGCTTCAAACAGAATCGCACAGAATGTGAGGGGTTGGAAGGGACCTCGAAAGATCTAGTCCAACCCCCCTGCCAGAGCAGGACCAACTGCTAAGATGTGTGGCTAGTGGAAAACTAATGCCTCAGTCTGTTAAGAACAACCTTTTAGTGGCGGCTTTACCATGTCTAACTCAATAGTGTATCACGATGATGCTCCAGCTATTAGCTAAACAAATCACTGCAAAGCACAAAACTCCACAGAGGGAAAACTGCTCTCAAACAAGGACGACACCAATACTTTTGGGAAGCTGGCTTTACTAATAAACCATGACTGACACTATTCACATGTATTTAGGAGTTCTTTAAAATTTGTCATATGAGATGGAAACCCAAAATGTCAGGATACACTAACATCAGAAGTTTAGCTAAGTGACAAAGTTCAACATTTTTTTCCACTACAATCTTTTCCCATGGTCACAAAATGTAAATAAAGTGCTCCATGATCTCTGCTGGTTGGACCCTGGGATGCAGCCAAATTATGTCTCTCTTAAGCATGAAGGCAGAATAACTAAAAATAGCAATTAACCATTCATTTTTCCATCTCGATAGCAAAATTACAGTTTCAGAAACGATCCAGTTTCCAGTAATAAAGAAATACAGTGCCACTGGGAAGACCCTGTCAGAAACAAAAGCTCATGAGGCAGAACAATCACATTGGCCGTGTAATTCACCATATGAACGTTCCCCACTGCTTTCAAGGGAATGCTGCTTCCCAAATCCGCTGTCCTACCTTTAATGTTGTCCTTGTAGAACTTATTGCTCTCCTCCACCGTACTGAAGCCGGCATACTGGCGGATAGTCCACGGCCTGTACGTGTACATGGTTGGGTAGGGTCCTCGAGTGAAGGGTTTCACCCCCGGCAGCTCCTCAGGGAGGTCCTTTGTGTCCCTTTTGGAGTACAAGGGCTTGATGTCGATCCCCTCTGGGGTGTGCCAAATCAAATCCTTTGGATTCTTGCCTTTCAGCTGCTTCTCAGCCAGGGCAGCCCACTCGGGGTGCAGCGGCTGTCTGTGCAGCCGCCGCCGCACGAGGCGGCACGGTGGAGGCTGCGCCAGGCATGTGCAGCGGCGCGGCCGCAGGCGCAGGAGAGCACCCTGGGCTCTCAGCATCTCTGTCCCACTGGTGGGCGAGTACGGGGTCAGCTGGAGAAAATAAACCCACATATTTTGCATTATCATATAAATCTGACATGGGAGAAATGCGCATGGAGAGCTCAAGCAGTTTGCTAAAGGCAAAAGAATTACTCAGGAAAAAATTAAGTGCATTTATTCACTTACTCATAGATAGACACTCCCTCCCCTTGCCTTTCAACCACAAAATGCATAAAACAGAGTTCAGGAAGAATCCTACACTTTCCTCCAGCTAAGGAAAACATTCCTACAACTCATCTACATCCACATATGAAATGTGTAACTTATTTCAGTCTCTAAGCAGCATCATCATTAATCAGTCACCGAAAAGTCAGTGTCAGACATGAAGACAGCATGCCTAGCTACCTTCTCACCTTCCCATCTCTCTCTCTCATCCACAAATTCCTTAATGTCGAAGAGAGTCTCTCAGCATCAAAGAGACACCCTGAAGGAAGTGGACCATCAGAAAATTGCTGACATATCACACCCTTTGGAAAGGGTGGCTTGGGCTGGATGAAAGCTAGAGCTATACTAAGAAAGAAAGGAGCAAAACTATGCAGTATGCAAGAACACAGGGATAACACAAGTTGCAGCAAAGCTCGTCTCACCATGCACGAGACTGAGATAGTGGATAAGCTCAGCAACTCCTGAAAGCTGTAAGCTTCTCTGCTTCTGCTCTCTGTACCCCACCCCT